TGCTGCGCTCCGACAGTTCAACTCATCCGAGCCATCGATGCAGTGAGAGCGGCCGTCGCAAACTTGGTTTCTGGGGACGCAGCTCCGGCGATCTTTGCAGCGGAAGTCGGCTTTAAGAGCAACATCAGATTTACACATTAAACAGGTTTTACTATATTAGCTAGCCCTTACTTTAAGAGGAAGTACATTTTAAACACTCAAAGATGCAATGATAAAATCTTCCAGTCATTAAATTTCTGTTTTGTTGATTAGGCTTTAAGCAGTGTGCCTCCACTGACTAGTGAAGTTGCAGTTTTGCATCCAGATCCATTTTGATTCAATATTCGATTTGATCGTCAGATTAGAGTTTATCATGTGCGTTTGTCTTTGTTTTTAAAGAAATTAAAATTGCAGATATATGTTGCGAGTTGACAAACTAACCCACTGAACTAATCCAGAGGGGGAAAAAAAATATTTCAAAGATTGAGTTTACTAGAACAGAATAAAAAAAATAAATAAAGCCTCAAAAACTACAGCCCATTATGTCAGTATGGATATTTGCACCTTTATATAAATTATAACATAACTTGCAACAATAACCTCCCACAGACCACTTACTTCGAGATGGACACCTTCTGACACATTTCTCATCAAATCCATCAGGACAGTCTCTCCTTCCATCACACATCTGGGTTGGTTTGATGCAAACGGAGGAAGCAGGACACAGAACTGAGGGGCTGGTGCACGGTGGGGTGGTGGGAGGTGGAGTCGTTTCTTCAGTAGGAACAGGAGACTCGTTTTTATTTTCAACAACACTGCTGGTTCTACTCTCTGGGACGTCTAGAAACGCAACATGAAGCAGAAAGGGTCACATCAAGTGCAACAAAATGTGATTAACTTAATGTTCTACAGCAAGAAATACTCACCGCATCCTTGCTCATCTGATCCGTCCTGACAGTCTCGCTCGCCGTCACACAGGTGGCTCAGTGGGAAACAGGCTGTCCCGTCTTGACAAAGTTTGGAGCCAAAACGACATTTCAGGACTTGAGCTGACGTAGTTTCAGGAGGTGCTGCGCTCCGACAGTTCAACTCATCCGAGCCATCGATGCAGTGAGAGCGGCCGTCGCACACTTGGCTCTTCGGGATGCAGCGCAGACGGTCCTTACAGCGGAAGTCATCTGCAGACAGTGAAACATTTTTACAGATCATAAATACCACAACATGTTCACTGCACTGTTGGGGAAGCTGCACCAGCATGAGTGGTTTTAATCTTATAAGACAAATATACAAATCTTAATATGCAGTTTTAACCTTTGATAATGAATTTATAGTTTAATGTACGCCGTTAAAACCCACTTACTCTGAGAGAGACATTTCTTCACACATTTCTCATCTGATGCATCAGGACAGTCTTTCCTTCCATCACACATCTGTGTCGACTCGATGCAAATGGAGGAACCTGGACACAGAAATGAGGGGCTGGTGCATGGTGGGGTGGTTGTGGTCATCGCTGCAGGTTCTAGGAATATAATGCATACCCCAAAATGGTCAAAAACTGCTGCACAATAAGTCGTTTTGAAAATTCACACCGAGCGCAAAAATAATGCAAAGCAAAAAAAAATTATAAAATGCTAAAACTGTTTTGGCAATTAAATTGAGTGCAACTCTTTGCAAAGGACTGCAATCTATTGCAATTAATGGCAATATTCTATAATTCGCAATTGCATTTTTTTTTTAATGTTGTGCAGCCATCATCAAAATCTGGTAAATCTCAGCCCACTGAAGCGTAAGGCTTTCAAAATTTTTTTTTCAATATTAAACAACCATTTACCGCTTTGTGAGAAGTTGTTCCCACATCCTTCTTCATCCGATCCATCCTGACAGTCTCTCTCTCCATCACAGACATGACTCAACGGGACACACGCCGCCCCGTCTCGACACAATCTTGAGCCAAATCGACATTTCACGTTTCTCTGAGGAGCATTCGGACAATCCACTTCATCCGAGCCGTCGTGGCAGTGAGACACACCGTCGCAAACTAAACTCTTTGGGACACAGTTACGGTGATCTTTGCAGTGAAAATCAGCTGGGGGAGAAAATGGTGGGTAAAGTCAGTTTAATAAAGGAAAAACAGATTGAGGCTGGAAAAGGATTTTAAGACTTACTTTTTGAGGGACAACTTTTCAGACAGCTCTTTTCATCAAATCCATCAGGACAGTCTTTGATTTCATTACAAAACTGGCTTGGAGAAATGCAAATTTGTGCAGAAGGGCAGAGGACAGAGGGGCTGTGGCAGGCTGCTTGAGCCTTTACCGAAGATTTGTTGGCAGAAGAATCATTTGTAGATCTCGTCATTTCTTTAAAAACAGGAACAGTTTGTAAAGTTAAACATGTCTCAACTTCTGAATCATTTGGTGAAAGAATAAAAAAAACTCACCACATCCCGCTTCATCAGATCCATCCTTACAGTCTTTCTCGCCGTCACACACATGACTGTATAACACGCACTCCGTGCCATCTTCACACAGCATTGAGCCGCTGCGGCATTTAAGGACGTTCGCCCGAGTTACAGGAGCAGCTGCCGTGGGACAGCCCACTTCATCAGAACCGTCATGGCAGTGAGAGCGGCCATCACAGACGAGGCTTCTGGGAATGCAGCTCCTCCTGTCCTTGCACTTAAATTCTGTTGAAAGAAACATTTGTCAGTGGTGAAATCGCACATTAGATTGGGTTGTTAATTATAATTTTACCTTTAGATGAACATGTGGCGACACAAAACTCTTCATCGTCTCCTTCTGGGCAGTGTCTCTTCCCGTCACAGACCTGGACTTGAGGGATGCAGATCGAGGATTGCCGGCACAGCATGGACGGAGCATTGCAGTCTGGAGCATCAGGTTCTAAATGGATTTAATAATGAAATTCTAATGTACTGCTTTATCCAACAAAGAGCGCTACTGCTGCAAATAAAAAAAAACAAAAAAAACTGACCGATTTGAACGTCCCCGAGAACGGGGATCACACCCAGCACGCGACCTTTTACAGTCACTGATTGAATTTTGCTCCCATCGCGCCGATCCCACAGAGTCATTACATCGTCGGAAATGGACAACAGGAAGGGCTCGAAGGCGGCTACGACCGAGCCGGAAATATTCCACCTTCTCCCAGCTTGGTGGCTCCTCTCCTTCAGCAAACTCAGTGTAGTCAAGCCTGGAAAACGGTAACGATTGATGTGAAGACATCGATTTAAACTGAAGCAAACTATGAGTCATAAAAAATTACCAACCTGCTCTTTTAGAGTTCCAGAGGAGACTGCTGGCCCTGAGGTCAAAGGCAACATTCCCACTGACACCTGCCATCTGCAGCAGCTCCTTAGCTTTGCCCTCCATCATGTTCATGCTGAAGATTCGCTCCTCCTCCAGCCAGAACATCCCGCCCCTCAGCCAGTCCAGGTAGAAGCTGTGGATCTCCTTCGTGGTGCGGTACAGCTGCTGCGGGTACTTTCTGCCAGTCACGGTGGTGCCAATGATCTTTTTGTCACAAGAGACCCAGTAAAGGTTTGAAGTCCTCTGGTCCACGTTTATTAGACAAACTGAAAGCAAAAAACAGGATCAACCACCACTTTAAATAGAAAATGTCTTAAAGCAATTTTTTTCCCCCAGAACTCAAAATGAAGTGCTACCTGGCAAAGGTGTTGGAATGAGCTCAACCTTGTTTTGAGTCGTACTGGTGCGCTGGAGGTGGCCCGTTCGATTAGCCCAGTACAGCCAGTCTCTGTACCAGTCCAGATCGAAGGACAGAATTCCCTCTTCTGTGGCAAAAATCTGCATTTCAGTCGACTCTCTGCCTCGAAACTCCAGCAGGTTGATCTTTGTTATGGTTGCATATAAAAACCGTGGATCTAGAAACGGTAAAATGTTTGAAGTTTTATTCCAAAACAAAGAAAAACTGTAATCAATCCCTAAAATGCACAATGTAATTTATTCAAAAAAAAAAAAAAAAAAAAAAAAAAAAAAAGGAAAAATGTACAGTTTTATATTGTTGTCCTCAAATTGAACATTTTAAACTGGATACCAAACATCACACGTCCGTTCACCTTTGAAACGGTTAAAGTGACTAAAAATCTGTCAACAGAAATGTCCAAGAGCTGTTGCGATGCTCCACCGGCCTGCTCGATTCAATATTCATAACTTTTCTTACATTTTTCCTTTTTTCTTTTGTTTAGCAGCAGATTTCAGCTTAAATGCAACTTAAGTGTCCAATTCTGCCATATTTACCTACGGACTACAACCAGTCTAATGAAGGTTTTTGTGACAAGCTTCCATGGTGATTTTGGCAGAATCAGCCAAATGTCCGTCTTACACTCAGCGCAGACCCACATTTTAGAAGACATTAAAAAAACTACAGGATTAAGCTCTTAATGTGTACCATTTATAAAATTTGTTATGTCCACAAGGGGGTGCTGTAGCATCTTCAGCACCCTTAGTTCCCACAGCCATGGTCAGATCATTCAGTTTAGATCAAATGGAGCCTGTTTTCTTTTCTAGGAAGTGAAGGTAATGTAAACATTATCAGATGCATTTTCAAAATAAAGGTCCATTAAACTCACATTCACATGTCCCATCAGGTAGAAGCACTTTGAAATACGGACAAGCACAGGTGAATCCAACATCGCTGCTTTTAGTCAGCTGGCAGAGGCGGCAAGGCATATTGGCACAAACAGAAGGACCTGATTCAATTGGAAAACAATGAGAACAAAAATTAGATCAATTCCCTCAGATTGTCAAAGTATTTAACAGCACTCCCATCAGTTTGTGAATTGATTTCATGCTCATTATCTCTGGGTCTACAGCAGAGACTCCAAATTCCAGAAAGACAAATTCTACATTTCTCAGTTTGTTGGGGACGGACCACACAAAGTACCTTTCGGTTGTTGGAGTTGATGGTAAACCGTCAGCAGCGGCAGATCCATTTTCCTGAGAAATTTCTTTCGACCCGGTTGGTTTTGTGGAACCTGCCACAGTCCTTTGTCGTCGACCCAGTAGAACATGCTTTCAAACGCAGCCAGGCTCAGAGCAGGCCTCCGGTTGAAGATTCCTGTGAAGGAGTGACGGCCCGTCCCGTCCACCCTCACAGTTTCTACAGACTGAAGAAGAATTCATGTTAAGGCATTAAACGAGGGGCTCAAATCTACTGAAGGTGCATGTTGATGAAATGCTTGCAGTAAACTACAAAACAAACATTTTATACTTGTGAAGGGACATTAATAAAAAAAAAAAAATCTGTCAATCCTGAAGGAATAATGAAACTGTAAATCTCGACTCCACACATTGAAAACCAGAATTGATTAAAAACACAATCTGAAGCTTTACAAGTTGAACAGAAACATTTTGTGATTAATCTCAGGAAATACATTTAATAGTTTAATTTAAGGTGCTCCTTTATAGTAATTGTGAAAAATGGGGGAATTTTTTTTTTTTTTTTTTAACACTTAAACTATAAAGAGTTGTGCAAATTATAGAGCATTGGACACAAATTGAATAGAGTTTGATGAGAAAATGCTGGATCAGAATGAATTTGGAGTGGCTGCGGTTTAATAAAACATGAAGTGGCTGTGGTGAAGAGGCAATGCAGCTGACTTGGGACCAGAAAGATGCAAGTTCAATTATGCACAATGCAAACATGCAACAACGATTTTGAGCTTAACATCTCGTGTGTCCGAGGACAAATTTTCTCATTGTATGAGAACATGACGATAACGATTGCAGACATATTGGAAGCAATTTTGACTTTGATGACTTAAACTGTATAAGACAAAAACAATTTAAGAGGAATCTTGGAAGAAATTGGTAGAAATTAAAAGTTAATTAATGGATTTATTAACCAGACCCAGGATAAAGCTATAGCTAAACGCAAACACTTAAGATTTAATATCAAGATAAAAAGATTGTGTTCCTACTTGGAGGTGACTAGACCAGACACACGGGGCAGGTCAAGGGTCTAATTATCCATTTTCAGTTGCAGGAGCTCAACGAAAGCCACAGCTGCCTTGATTTACTACCAAGTACGCAGCTCATTTATTAGTATTTGTATTCTGGACTTTTGCAAAAGCTTGATGAACTCTGAACTCACCACCTTGGCATTGCTGATCCAGTACAGCCTCCTGGCCGTTACATCAGCCGTGAGGCCGCGGGCCAACTGGGCAGTGAGGACCGTCAGAGTACTTCTGTCAGATCCGTCCATCCACGACTTTTCCAACGTCACTCTATCCCCCGGACCTTCGTTCATCCAGATCATCAAGCTAGAAGGCAGAAATAAAAATAAAAATAAACACTGATCCTGTCTGTCACTGTGAAATTTAACTTTATTGTAACAGCTAAATTTTAAAATTAAATTTCACAAAAAGGTTGAACGAACCTCTCAACAGGCAGAAGCACCAGTTCTGAAGGTCGGACATTTTTATTTAGCAGAGTTGTGTACTCTGTTCCATCAGCTGACTGCATGTAGATCGATTCAGTCTTCTGATTGGTCCAGAACAGGATTCCATTTAGCCAATCACAAGCTAGACCTTTGATTCCAGGTTCCCCTGATAAAAAAACCCAACAATGTTACAATAATTAACTTAATTTTTAAAACTGGAATTAAATTACAGGTTCAGCAATTCAAAATTAAACGTTCAAGCATGGACGTGCAAATAAAGAGTTAACTGACCTGAAAAGATTATCCAGCTGTGGTTTTCATTACTTTTGTGAATGTTGCCCCGCTTGTCAGCCCAGCAGAACCATCCTCTGGTAATGTCAAAGGTGAAGGCCACCGGATCGAACACTGAAGTCGTTGCAATATCAAACTGCTGAGATTTGACATTCAGCAGTCCCATTACGTTCCTCTGCACCATCAGCAACCGGGTTGCATTTCCTGGAAGATTCAAATATTTTTTTCCAATTTTAAATGGATTTTATTTTGAAATTTTGCCATCAAGTGCACGAAGGGTCTGAGAAGTTATAAAAAGTCACTCCCACATTTGAACAAACTTAAAAATCTGATTTGTGGTCAAAGGTTTTTCCTTTAATACCAAATTGCATCACAGTTTAAACATTGGGGACTAGCGGGACATGCTTGCACGAGGTTAAATATGTTTTGCGCTGAATTACATTCCTCCAGGTGTACAAATAAAAAAAGACTAGATTTTGTAAAAAGGCACAATTTTCAGTATAGCGATGTGTTACCCTTTACTCTTTGACATGAATGAGGTGAAGACAAAAGCAAGAAACTAAACATCAAATTCTCCCTTCAAACATGTCAACTCATTTAAAAAGTGCCCCTTTAAAGTACGCCACCCATCCAACAAGACTTGTGGGTGTAAAAATATATTTAAACTACTTTGATTTAAAAAGTGAATTTAATGTACCATCGGTTCAGATTAGGGATGCACGATATTGTTTTTTGGCCGATAACCGATACCAATATTACAGAGACTAAAAAGCTTTCTCTGTGGAATTAACACATTATTCTGAATGGTCTTTATCAGTTTGTCCTGATATTAAATACAGATGCCAAGAAAGGGGGCTGAAAATGATGCAACACTTCAACTTGGGTTTAATGTTAAATTTATTCATTACATTTACTCTAACACAATGACACTCAAACAGTCATCCGAAAACAGCACTAATAGATGGAATCTATATATAAAAACAGCACCTTTATATTTGCGAGTTACTTTGATATAACTGCCGATGTCCAATATTTAACTTTATCGCCAATATCGATACCACGCCGATAATATCGTGCATCAATAGTTCACATAACTTTGAAAAACCTCACCTGAAGCCTGACATTTGGACTTTTCTTTCAGTTTGAAATCCTCCTTGCAGTGGCAATAGTACGCGCCGATGGTGTTGGTGCAGTGTTGCGAACATGGAGGGAAAGGTGAAGCGCATTCATCCAAGTCTAGGAACAAACACATTTAGACTCCGAGGCATTCAGAGTACAGATGTCCTGCAAAACCTTTAATGTCCTTGGAGGAGATGAACCGTCAGCTCGCTCACCTTCACAGACCACGCCGTTAGGAGAGAGCTTGTATCCAACGGGACATGCACAGAGAGTCCCCCAGGGTTCATCAGTGCACACATGGCCACAGCCACCGTTGTTCCTGGAGCAGATACGACCTGCAAGGGGGGGTAATATACCGGATGTCAGTTTTTTACACTGAAGACATTCGTGTCATTTTGAAAGCGATCAGTCAGGGAAGTCTTACCGCAGGTTAGTGGCTCATCACTGCCATCAGAACAGTGAATCTCCCCGTCACACCTCGCTGCAGGCGATAGACACGTCCCGTCAGGACACCGGACACCACCTGCATCACACATGGCTGCAGAAAAAAGAATAACCCTCTATAAAACCGTTCAGGTTGGAGATTTATTCACTTTGGAACTGCGCACAAGTATCAGAACTAAACCCATAGTCTTCCTCACCGCAGTCCCCTTCGTCAGAGTTGTCCCCGCAGTCATCGCGTTTGTTGCAGCGCACCTCTTTAGATACACAAATGCCGTTTAGACACATCCATTCAGAATCCAGACAACCCTCAACGGTGGGACAGTTCTCTTCATCAGAACCAGTGGGACACTGAAATTTCCCATCGCAACGAGCCGACGTGTCAACGCAACCGACGGAGTCCAAACAAGCGAACTGACCAGGAGGACAGCCAGAACTTTGGAAGGCTGAAGGAAACAAAATGCTACGTCAACGCCCAGTAAACATTTACGGTTTCATTTTTACTTCTGCAACGGTGAGAGCCACAAACCGTCACAATCCATTTCATCAGATCCGTCCAGACAGTCTCCCTCTCCATCACATCGCCACGTGTCCAGAACGCAGCGTCCATCGTCACACTGCCACTGGCCCTCAGGACATCCCAACATGTGGCCTACAGAAATACACAAAGCGCAACATGAAATGGATTACACACAACTCATGGATTAAATCATATTGTGGACCAAAAGCAACTCGTCATTAAAATTTAACATTTGTAATGTAATATTTGTAATCAACTGGATGCAGTTCAAAAATACCTTCCAAGTTAAATCTAAATGTTTAATTTTTAGATAAAATAAGCTGCGGCTTACAAGATCCAATTTATTTAGACAAAACCATTATGTTTCGAGTCAAAAGATTTTTTAATACTGCCCATGAGTTTTGGATTAAGGTTATTTTACATCAGAACAGATGTTGCACATTTACATGTATCACAAAATATAGCGAGATGCTTTAATGTTGGTGTGAGATGAGGATGAACGTCACCTTCGAGTTCAAACTTAACATCTGTCAAATTCAGCTGAAGTGGAGCGTTACTGAGCTCGAGCTAAAATCCATTCAATGATTCCCACGATAACCTGATAAGTTTATTACCAAGCAAAGATGGTATGCAATGTGGAGCACTTAGGGTGTACATGGAGGATGACTCTCAGCTACTACCACACCAAGTTTTAGCCATAAATTGATAGAATTACTGTATATCCATTCACTAATGTTACTTTGCCCACACAAAAATGCTAATTATTGGCAGTCAGAAGCACCAATACTATACCATTAATTAGATACAAGGCTAATTAAAGTATTTATTGATCAATTATGTAATTGGTTAAGTGGCTTCAGATTTACAGTCAAACTGACAGTGTTTTCTGCTCCAAACAGCTAAATTAACATTTTAGGCTTAATTTAATTAAAGTACATGATATTTAAGTGTGATTGGACCAGAGTCTGTGCAAATATCCAGGGGATTTCCCAACAAAACAAAACAAAAACAAAAAAACAAACATCAGCTCTGGTGGAAAACATCTCAAAACTCACCAGATGTGACGAAAAGTGGACGTTAAAACATATAAAAAATTAACTCACCTGTGGAAATTCTTAGATTCAGCAGCAAACTGAGACAAATGAACGAGCGCAGGTCCATGCTGGCCCGCGCGCGACTCATCGCAACAAGCTGCTGCAGCTGAGAGGAAGCGCTTTAATCAGCTGCTGCACGTGCGCCTGCAATTAGGACCGACTTCCGGTTCAGGGCAAAAAACACGGAAAACATCAACTTCAAGGAAAAGTTCATTAATATTAAATGTAGAAAACAGGATGAATGCCATTAGGGAGCATTTTATCACATTTTAAACACATTTTCTGGCTGAATAATTTATATTTTCAGAATATATTTTAATCTAATTTGATGGGCTATATATATTAAGTTAAAACATCAATAGATTGATACTCTCTCGTTCATCTTTAACTAATATTTGGCACAATAAAAAGAAATCAAACAACAGGTTTTCTTTAATGAGAACACTTTATCCATTTTTTATTTCAGTGAAATGAATAAAAACCTCAAAGAAGTCACGTGTCTCAAAAATTAGCGTCAACGAGCAATTTGTTGCCATTAAGATGGAGCCCGTCAGCAACCTTCAGAGGAGCAATTATTATTGTTCACAAGTTTTTTACAGGTGCATTTGTTTTGTCTTTAGTTTATAGTCATTGTGGATTTACAAAATTTTTATGTTTTTACAAACTCCTGGGTTTTACCTGTATTGTTTTATTCTGCATTTTATTGTGTTGTGCAAATACTTATTTTTAAAAAGAAACATTTATGTTTATCTATCAATCTATGGGAATTTGATTAAGATTGTGGAGGTTGGAAGTTTTATAATTCTGACCTCTCCGGTTTTTGTCTTAAATATTCAAAGAAGAAAAAGAGATGGTTTATGTAATGATTAATTTTCCGATTGGGCTGGTCCCATTAATCACGCGCAGCGCAGCTCGTTTAATCTCGGACTAATTCTTATCAAAAGTTTCTGTAACATGCAGAAGAGCAATCAGAGCCTTGTCCACGTTTCACACTCATGTCACTTCAAAGACCGCTCGGTTTCGGTTCACTTCATCACTTTTATAGGTCCTTGAACGCACCCCGTGCGCAGGACGTGAGGCGCGTGATAACCCCGAGCATCAGCGCTTTCTGTGTGGAAGTGATCTGCACCATGAAGGTTCCGGAGCTGGAGTTTGTGTTTGTTCTGCTGCTGGGTTCGGTTCTGGGTCTCTCCGCGGATCAGGGCGGGATGTCCGGACGCTCCGGCGGCTTCAGGCGCACCTTGAGGCGGCAGCAGGTCAGGCTGCCCCTCTACATGATGCTGCTCTACCGGACCATGCGGATCGTGGACCGGACCAGAACCCAGCCAGCCAGGGGGGAGCGCATCCGAGGTCTCCACCACTCAGACTCCGTCATCAACCTTGTTGCTAAAGGTGAGCTAAATGTCTTCAATCCAGGTGATCATTCTGAATTTAAACATCATGTGATTATAACATTATGTTGGTTCTGTTAAAGTCCAAGATTGAATTTAAAAGAAAAAAAAAAAAAAGATTCCAAAAGTTTTATTTCGTGTTTCTTTCAGGCTTTGAGCAGATAGACCAGACGTGGTCCGTCACCTTTGACCTCTCCTCCATATCTGCTAGTGATAACATCCAACGTGCTGAGCTCCGGATCCGCCTGCCTGCCTTCACCACGTCCTCCAGTTTGGACATCTATCACTCCAACCAGGACCATTACGCTGAGAACAGGCTGCTCCTGGGGCGCCTCAGAGCCCACACCAGCTCAGTGGTCACATCCTCTTCCTGGAAGGTGTTCGACGTGACGAAGATGCTCCTCCGCTGGTTGCAGCAGGGATCAAGAAAGCGGACAGATGAGGCTAGAGTGAAGGAGACACAAGGCAGGATCCAGCAGCCCACCCATGACAGGGTAATGATGGTGGTCTTCTTGAAGCAGAGCCCCAGACATAAAAAAGCAACGTTGATTCGCACAGCACAGCACTCCAAGTACGTGGGCCGGGCGCAGGTGAAGCCCACCTCCAGGATGGGGAGAAGCAGAGAGAAGAGACACCAAGAGAAACAAGGCCGTCTCTGCGGGAGGGTGGACATGTGGGTGGACTTTAAGAAGCTCAACTGGAGCGACTGGATCGTCTATCCCAAACGGTTCAACGCGTATCGCTGTGAGGGAAGCTGTTCCACACCGGTGGATGAGACGTTCAGCCCCACCAACCATGCCTACCTGCAGGTGAGATTGACACATCCTATTTTAAACCTGTACATTGTAGTTTTGTGTTAATGCTTCTGTACTGCAGCTCCTCTGACACGTGGGTGTTCATCAAGGGCTCATTTTGGGCCCACTACTTTTTAATCTGTATGCATTGTCTTTTATGGTGGTTCCGTAGCTCAGAGGTGAGCGCCACAGTCCTGTGATCCTGAGGCTGCAAATCTGAGCCCAGGTTGCATCTGGACGGGCCTCCAGTGTACAATTGCCAAATCTTTTTGTGTGGGAAAGGGATTCCCCGAACAATAGATTAACCAAAAGAAAAAAGTTACGGGAGTCCCGTTTTTGGAAACGTATATCATCAAGGTAGAAGATAAAACGTGGTTAAATTTAAAGTCTATCGAACAATGTTCAGTCAGGTCATCTGGATGGTTTCTTTTTTCTTCCTCCATCCCAAGGACTTCATCAGTCTGAGGAAACACCAAACAAATTCTCCGCCTACTCCAAAGTGGAACAAAGCAGTTATGTTGGTGCTGCGATGGCCTCTGGGGCCATCTTAGCCTGAAGCCCTTCAGATGGAGAGCGAAACATCTCAGCACAAAAAAAAAAAGTCCAGATGACCTGACTGAACATTGTTGGATTTTATACCTGGATTATTGCGCCTGAACTTTTGGTGTTCAAACTTTTATCGGTCATTTATAACCAATAATCTACGTTAAGGACTGTCCTCCAACCACTGTGACGTTTTTCTCATTTCAGAGTCTGCTGACGTTTCACCACCTGGACAAGGTGCCGTGTCCATCCTGTGCGCCCACACGCCTGGCACCGCTTCCCATGTTGTACTTTGAGAAGGGGAAGGTGGTGGAGAGGCACCATGAGGACATGGTGGTAGAGGAGTGTGGCTGCCACTGAGGACAAAAATGAACGAATGCATCCTGGCACTTTACAGAAAAGAAGCGAGAGTTAAAACTCATTCTGGACATTTTACAAAAGGCCTCAAAAGGCATTTAGTGATGAATGAAGGACTGTTAAATTGCACAAATTGCTGTGCAAAAATAACCTTAATTTATTTTTATTATTATTATTTTAATGCACAAGGATTAACTAAGTTAATGTTCCTGAACTGACAAAACATCTACAGTAATTGATGCTGTGAGATGCTTGGGTCCCATCGACCCATTTGTATGTTTGCTTTAGATTTTAAAGCAATAAATGTTTTTATATCTTACATAAAGAGTCGAGACTTATTGTAAGACACTGTTTTAAGTTTTTTTTAAGCAACACTTCATTTCTCCAAAAGACAAGACACAATACTATGTTAAAGAGTTTGGGTTACTTGCAATGTGTCCTATTTCAGAGTATAATATTTCAAGGAAGGACACAGTCCAGCAAATAAAAATAAATTGCCTACGTTCACCTTAAAAAGCTGAAGTTGTTTGCTGTCAATAATTTTTATTAATTGCCACCAATAGCAAAATCACTAAATGTCTCATGAACCACAGAGAGAATTTTATTAAAATTTACAAAAATAACTGAATTTATTTCTACAATAAATTTATTTTTGGGTAAGCCCAATTCAAGATGGCCAACCATGTTTACTGCCTCACTTATTATTATTTTTTAAAATATTTTCAGCAGAAAAATGGTCTAGCAGAATGAATATAGCAGAACAAGTGATAGACTTGTTTATTGTAGTAAAGAACTGAGCAGGAAAAAATGGCTTCTTTCATCATAGCTGGGAATAAAAGCATGGATATTACAATAGTAAACACTAACATTCATCTAGTTCATGAAACAAGAAGGTAAAAACTATGTATGTTGCTTTATACCAAGTTTTAACTAAATAGATTCACCCAGACCTAAAATTTGGTTATTTTGTGGTTTGCTGCCCCCATGTGGCCACATATGGTTACTGCTGTTTAGTAAACAAAGCTCAATGCTCTTAGTGTTTTAATTAGTTTTAAATATAACTCACATAAAATATTACTATAATAAAACATATTACATGTTACATATCACACAAAGTCACGCAAAATCAAAGAAATAAACAGTTTTATGCAGCTATTATTCTTGAAAGCGCAACATTTTATGTAAGTACACTGTAGATGTTACAAAAACACATTTGTATCTGAAAAACAAAACAGCTAGAATTTTTAATTGAACTATTATAGAGTTTTAATTCTAGGTAGCATTAACTATGTGAATATAAGGCTCACTTATGTTTGTCTTTATATGTCCATTTCAAACTGGGCGTCTTCTCCTGAAAACATAAAAAAAACAGAGTATAATCAAGATAAATGCACAAAAACCCACAAAGTCAGTTGCTGTTAAACAGACGCGCTCACCCGAGGTTTCTGTGTGCACGCTGCGCTCGTTGCTGCTTGGCATCTCGCTGCGTTTGTTAGCGTCATTAGAAGAGGCAGGGATCAGCGGCCGCGTGACTCCTGGGATATCAGGCAGAATGGGAGGGGTGCGAGCCAGGGGCGACGTCCGACACTGCAGGAGGAACTTCCTGTCGTAGATAATCCTGGTCCCTGCAGCACACGAGATGTTTTTAACCAATTATTGTCAAATTGTAACATCTGTCATATTGTTGTAATTAAATGGGTTGACAGAAAGATATAGAAGAGTTCTGACAATATTTTTGATTTGAGCATTTCAGATATTTCCAGATTCAAAATCAGCAGATTTTGTACATATTTGCCACATTTTGCTCTAAATTGACGGTCAATCATCGGTCTGGTTTTGGTTTATCTCCTAACACCATTTGAAAAACGGTTAATATATTTGATATATGCAACAATATTTGTCTTTGAAAGAAAATTACGTTTTATTTTGAAATATTTATTCATTTTACAGTAAGAACCAGGGTTTAGGCTGCTTTTGTTGGGCTAACTTAAAAAGCTGCAGACAGTATTCA